CATATCTCTGCCTCCTGAATAGCTAGAATTAATTATATGCATGAGCTACCATATTCCAGCCTAGAATTATTTCTAAATGTTAGAACTGTTCATGTTTGCATCAAATACAATGTCTAACTTTAACTCCACAGTTAGGTACGTATTTCTATGTTTCACTACTAGATTTAAAATAATGAAACCCAGAGTGGCAATGCCTGAAAACCTAGCACTATAGAGACTAAAATAAGATTCTAAGTTTTGGGGCAAAGGGGCCTATACAGTGAGATCCTGACTGAAAAACAAAACAAAACAAAAAAGCAAAAAAAAAAAACCCAAGGAGCTGGACAAGGTGATTTGCCTCCAATACAAGCAACTCAAGAGGTTAACAGAGAGGTGGGGTTTTTTTTTTGTTTGTTTGTTTTGTTTTGTTTTTAATAGCTGGGTGTTGGTAACTCATGCCTGTAATCCTAGCTACTCCGGAGGTTGAGATTTAAGGATCATGGTTCAAAACCAGCTCAGGCAGAAAAGTCGGCGAGACTCCAATTAACTACCAAAAAAGCTGGAAAGTGGAGCTGTGGCTCAAGTGGTAGAGTGCTAGTCTTGAGCAAAAAGCTCAGGGACAGTGGCTAGGCCCCGAGTTCAAACCCCAAGACCAACACATACAAAAAAGAGTCTCTTCATCTTCAGTCCAGAAGTTTGAGGATAATGTGGGCAATGGTGAGGACTCCTATTTTAACACAACTGAATTGATTTAAAAAATAAGTAAATAAGCTAGATACTGGTGGTTGGTGTCTGTAATTTTAGTTCTCAAGAAGCTGAGATCTGGGAGATCTCAGTTTGAAATCAGCCCAGGAAGAAAAGTTGGAGAGACTTTTCAATTAACCAATATAAAAGCCAAACGGGAGGCATGATTTAAGTGACAGAGTGCTAACCAAGAGCACGAGTGTGCTGACCTAAGTACAAGCCTCAGTACCAGGGAGGAGAATGATACTGTGGAAAGTTTCCCTGACTGGAGAAATCTTTCCAAACCAAACCAAAATCTAGTGGGTTTCTTTCTTTTCTTTCTCATTACCGGGGCTTAAACTCGGGGCCTTGCTTCGCTTTTTCCACTTAAGGCTGGCGCTCTACCATTTGAGCAATGCCTCCACTCACAGCTCTTCGCTGGTTTAATTGGAGATAAGATCCTGTGTAGCTAGGATTACAGCCAGGCTCATTATTCTATTTCCCTGCACACACATAGAGTACTTTGCTCCTAATTACGCACACGTATACATGCGTGCATGAATTACATCACCCTCCTTCTTAGCCTTCCTGCTGCTTCCTCTCTCAGGTGATTGATTCCCCCCCCCCCCATTCCCCGTTCTTTCCATCATTAATTCCTTTGAACCATCCATGTCAGGTGCTGTGCTAGCCTCTGGTGTAAAATAGTGAGGAGACAGAGACATAGTTCCTGATTCCCCGGAACTAACAAGTGAAGTGTTATTGAAGAAAGTAAGGGAGTTACACCGAGGAAGAAACTAAAAGCTGGGTGAAGGAAGCACACGAGCTAAGACAACTGTGCGCCGAGGGAGTGACTGGTAGAACATACGACTGTGGATGGAATGGGCCCATGGAAGCCGCCCAAATTCAAATCTCCGTGCTACTCAAATGGAGGCATCTGATGGCATCTGTCATCTGGAGAGGGCAGTAGGAGGCTCTGTCAGAAAGGAAACTAGAAAAGTGTCACCCGTCATGTGAGCCTAACAAGCCCATAAAGAAGATCCGTGCCGAGAATGAGCCCCGTGTGGTTGGCGCGCTGGGAGGCGCACTGCCTGCGTAACTAGGAGAGCTGACGGATGACGCCCCGTCACACGCCGCTCAGCTCGCCCGCCACAGGAGCGGGGTCGCATCTTGGCGGACTAACCAGTGCGAGGTGGGGTAAGTCTGCGTGCGTATACACGTGGCACTCTCTGCCAAGGGTCCGGGGACTTTCCCCTAGGCGGGTTGGCCGGGAACTAGTCCCCCGTTTGTAGCCTAGGAAACAGGCCTTCAGCACGAAGTTCCTCTTAGAAGTGGGCTTCGGAGTACTTATAGGTCCAGGACAAGAAGAATCTTTAGATTAGGGTGAGCTAGTGTCACGAAATCTAAAAACCAATCTACTTTGTCTATATATATAGGAGTTTAGACTACTAATATCTAAGTCATCCTGCCTAGCAGAAAACTAAAAAGGTGAATAATTTACTTAGAAAAGCCAGACCGATAAGGCTTTATGCAAATCTACCGCAGCCCGCCTCTCGCGAAAGGGCGTGGCCTCTCTAGGAGGCCCGCAGTGGGACCCGCTAGAGTCGCTTGTGCGCCTGCGCACTGGAACTGGCAGCCCGGTGCTAGAACGGCTAGGCGCTGTGTGTGCCCTCTTTGGGCCAACTATGGCGGGCGCAGTCTTCCTCCCGGGTGTCCTGGGGCTGCTGCTTGTTGCTGCGCTTCTCGGGGTCCTTGGAGAACACCCCAGTCCCGACCTCGGAGCACACCCAGGTACCAGCCAGGGCTACTGGAGGGAGGCTTGGACTGCCTGGGAGAAGCCCGAGTTGTGCTGACCGGTGTCTGCGCTCCCTCCACAGGGCCCCGCGTCCAGGTCGGCCCTGGGGCCACCGAACCCCGGCGGCGCCGGCCACCCGAGGACCAGCGCGAGCGGGCCCGCGCCGGGGCGCTGCCTCTGGGGGCGCTGTACACCGCGGCCGTCGTGGCCTTTGTGCTGTACAAGTGTTTGCAGGTGCGGGACGGCCGCGGGTGGGGGAGCCCGGGGCCCGAGGCCCCCGCGGGGGCGCTGTGGGACAAGAGCCAGACACCGCTCCCCGGAGGCCCCTAGGACCGAGACTAGTTCCTTGGCGAAATTGCCCACCTTAGGGGGTTTCGAGAATCCAGAGAGGTGATGCCTGTGAGGGGCACCTGTACACTGTAAATAATGACCGACACATGTAGGCCTCCCAAAGTCCAAAGAAGAGTGGTCACTCGCTCAGGTCACTACTCAGTAACTAGTGGAACTGGGATTTGAATTCCATAAAATCCCATGAGTGTGAGATTTCTGACAAGCCTTGGTACAAACGGTTGATTGCTGCAGCTACAGTAGGTCTAGAGTTTAAGACGCTAAGCAGTTTCCGTCTCCTTGGGAGAAATGTGAGTTAACCATACATTCTGATGGATTAAAACTCTTGAAATGGAAAGCAGTATGGCCCAGGGCCGTGCCTTCAGCCCTCATCCTGTCATTTATTTGCGTTTAGGAAAAAAAGCTGGACAATTTCAAGATACAAAACTAAGATAGCTAATAATGATCCCAATGGACTTGACAGGCAAGGGTCTCAATTCAATGATGAAATCTAATAAGGATTAAACATTTTTATTCCTTCAAGCCCCACTACTGACGTGTGTGTATGCCCTCCATGAACTTGACCCAGTATAGTAAGGAAGAAACAAATGAGCAATACCATCTGAGAGCAACATAGGCATTCCAGCTGACCTCTAAATTCATTGTGTGATGTGACAACTCATTCACAAATTCGTGCTCTAAACGAGGTATTATACCAGGTGAGAGCATGAGCCTGTGAGTTCAAGCCCCTGTACTGGCACAAAGCAAGGGGAAAAAAAAAAAAGAGTGGAGAGTTTGCACCAGAAAAGACTAGGGAAAGCAGCTGTGGGTGTTTATTACTGTCTTTAAATTTCCTAAGAGGAATTTGAAAAAGCAGACATTATTTAGGCAGTTCTAATTAGCATCATGGAAAGAAGATACATGAACAAATTTTGGCTTTGTATATTAACTGACAACTACAACTTTGTCAAGCAAGATAGTTGCTCATTCCTGAAAATGTTTCAACTGACCAGCCTAGTGTTCCTTCATATCCTGGGTAAGGAGCTAAACTAAAAAGGATTATGATTCTTTGAGGTTTAAAAACTAAAACAAAAAATCAGTATTTTCTCTGCTGCAAATTCTCTTCTTAGCTTTGGAGACTGAGGTGTTGAACCTTGTTGCAGTATTGATTGCCCTTCCTTCCTTCCAAAACAGGGCAAAGATGAGGCTACAGTTCTCCAAAAGGAAAAAGGCCAGAAGAAATCACTGCAGTCAGGTGAGTTGAGAAGTCTATGCTTGGAGGGTGGATGGGGAAGGGTCAAGGGCCAGCAGAAGATAAGTAAACGTCACCCATCGGCTCTTTTCTTCCTTGCTCTCAGAGCAACAACTGGCTCAGTTGACACAACAACTAGTCCAGACAGAGCAGCACCTGAACAACCTGGTGGCCCAGCTAGACCCCCTTTTTGAGCGGTGAGATTTTTGTGGCAGGTGGGCGGAGCAAGGACAGCCTGGGCAGCCCCTGAGTGGATATTTCTGCAGGGTGACTACCCTGGTTGGAGCCCAGCAAGAGCTTCTGAACATAAAGCTACAGACCATCCACCAACTTCTGCAAGACTGCAAACAGGACAAGGATGTGGGGGTTCCAGAGCCAGGTAAAGGCTTAGAAGGGGAGTCTGGTGAGGGAGAGACAGTCTCTGACACTGGAACTTGTTGATCTTGCCCATCACAGAAGCCAGCACACTCTTTCCTGAGGATCTGAGAAAAAAGGATGAGCAGGAAGCTGGTGACAGTGAGACCCAGGAGGAGCCCATAAACTGGAGCCCAGAGACATGGAACCTAGCTACTTCCTGGGAAGTGGAACAGGGGCTAAGGAGAAGATGTGGCAAGGCTTTAACAAAGGGCCCCAGCAGGGAAGGCGGGACAGCAGCTGAAGGGTTGGTAAAACAAAGTCTGTTCTTGTGACTGGATATTCCTGTGTGCTTTTTTCCTCCCAGATGGTTTTACACACACCATACTAGGTACTTAAAAACAATTGAGCCTTCTCGAAAAGCTTTCCTTATTAGGACAAAAGAGGCTGTCTTCCAGAGGGGAGCTGGAAAAACAGAGGGAGCCCCAGCTCTTTTCTATATGCCTGAGGCCACCAGCATGCCTTTGGGACCCCAAATTCCTTTCCTCATGAGACAAAGTTCTTTCCAAAAACAAAACAAAACACCACTTTATTAAAATCCAGTGGGAAAATAAATTATAGGAGTTGTACATAACAGCTAGGTATAGTGGTATGTGCCTGTATCCTAGGACTCAAAGTGAAGCCAGAGGGTTGTTAAGTTTGAAGCCAGCTTGAACTACACAGTGAGACCCTGCCTCAAGAAAAAGAAACTGTACATAATACAAAAATAGCAACTTTTACAAAGCTGCAAAGTGAATAAATAGCCACAGTCAGCATTCACTTGGCCTCATAACGCTGCATCAGTATCGAAGGATCTGGTTCAGCAAAGATTCAGTTGCATTGGAGTTGCTTTTCTAATTCTTAAGAGCTGGTCAAATGTCCTAGAGTAGCTTGTTCAACTCTGAAGGGTTTTATACTTTGTTTAGTGCAGAAGATTCCTTTGGGCTTCTGGCTCTGACCTATCCCTGAATATCCTGAGTTCCAGAATTTGTGTGAGTCCTGGCTGAGAGTCCTCTAGTTCTTGCTGCTGTGGAGAGAAGACAGTTCAGCACTTCAGCATGAACACCCAGTTTAAGACAGTACCCCCAGGAGGGCTGGGGGAGGTCCCAGACGGATGTACCTATGCATTTCCAGCTCCTGTGCCTCATCACAGCACTCTTAAGGGAAGATACAACGTACCTGATAGCCAAAGTTAGGCTGTGGTACCAACGTGACAGCTCTTCCTGGTCTGTGGACATAAGCAGTAGCTTCTCATGGGGGAAGGACAGCTGAGGAGAAACCACCTCTTAGTCCATGACTCAGAAAGGTCTAAGTTAAAGCCCTTGCTTTTGTTTTCTCATTACTATGAAGGTGATAAAACGGTCCATAAGCATCTGAGGTCTATGTTAGCCTAGGGTTCCCACCTATTACTTACACTGAGCAGTCCACCACAAGGGCCTCCTGAGTGTCCAAAGACTCTTTGGAGTTGACATTGGGCCATGGGGTAGAGGGCCCTACAAGCAAAGGTGCCACTTTTCAGGTGCAGTGGGGGTCGAGGCTTGGCCATAAGGAGCACATCAGAGAAGAGGAAGAACATTCGGGGTCGAGGCTCCCCAGTGGAAGGTACCACCAACAGCCAGCCCTGATGTAGAAACCAGCGTCCTGGGGTAAGGTGAGGGGGTAGACAAGAGAGGGCTGTTATGTCAGTGTAGCGCAAGGACCCACGGGAACAGAAGGAAAGGGAGGCTGAGGGAATGGTATGTGCTGACTAATGAGAAACAAGTAAGCAAGGGCAAAAGACGAAAGGGAAGTATACAGTTTACCTGAGGTAAGCCCCTTTGCCTGGCGTCCACTGAGCAGAGCCTGGACACGCCGGAGGTGCTGGTCATTCTTCTGTTTCTGACCAATGGCATGGACTCTCTGGGCAGTCTGACTTATTAGCCGGGCAGCCCCTGGAATAACATTCTCCACCTTATTTCCAATACAACTTTGACTCTGAATGGCTAGTGGTAGAAGGCTAGTCTGGAGTTGACCTGGGTCAGGGGCTAACTTAAAAGGCAAGGCATTGGGAACATTACACACATTAATTGAAAATAGGGACATACAAGGTATTAGAGGTCAGAACCAGGAGATACTGGCCAGGCAGCTTCTTGCATGAGATGCAGAGGAACAAGAACCTACGTGTGAGCTGTTGGTGGTCAGGGCTGTTGGGACCTGTGTTTTCAGCCAAAGCATTGGCGAGATTCTCATACCTAGAATTGGACAGTGGGAAGTGTACAAGAGGAAGCAGAGCCAGGTAAAATCCCCTCTCCTCCTGCTCGGCACACAGATCGGCCCCATACATCCCTCATTTGCAAAGCCAGGAAAGATCTGATTCCAGTTACTCTACCCATCTCCCCCGTCCCTTTCATCTGAGACTCAGAACTTGCACTCATATCACACAGCCTACTTCCAATCCTACCTTGCAGAGTTTTTGGCAAACTGACCATAGTTGGAAGCCAAGTAGGAAAACTAAAGTTAATCAAGATTGCTATGGACAATCTACGAGCCCTTAAGTCATCTCAAGGTCAGAAATTCTAGGTCAGGCAGGCCTCTGATCTCAATGGACTTTTCCAGAAATCCTGGGGCAGGTATTCAGGCCTTGGGGCAGGTCCTCTCTCTGTAATAGATTTCTACAGATGTGAGCCTGAGGCTGCAGATGCTAGGTACTCTTGCAGGTTCACATTTAGCTTGCAAAAGCTTCTTAGAAGCAATTTGGTCCAGATGAGAGTGGAGCGTGGGATAGACCCATGGCTTTCCCATAAAGCTGAGAGCAGCAGTCATATATGTCAGGTCGCTGGTGGAAGTAGGCAGCTGGGGAAAAATGTCAGGCTGCGAGAGGGAAACAGGCTGCTGCCAAGAAAGACCACACCCCACCCTCCCATCAAAAACACCATCTGAGTCAACCATTCTTCCAATGCACTGGCCTAAGACAGCTCAAACTGGCAAAACAAGCTACATGCCACAAGTCCCCACTCACCACAAGTGCTGCTTTTACCCCGCCTATAAAAGCTCTGCTACAACTACATTCAGTGTGACCTCTCTGTTCCTGACCAGGGAGTCTACCCAGGAGCACACCCCAATAAACTTTCTGTCAATCTTTTATTCCTCTCTGCGTGGTCCTTTTCTCGCCTAAAACCTTACAATATAGTCAGGGTGGTTTGAGTCTAGCGGAGTTCACTCACTGCTGAAGCCTCTGCAGAGGTAGGGGGAGCAGGTCCTGGAGCTGAAGGCCCCCAAACTCAGGGCGGCCTTCCTGAAGCCGCACAAACCTCCGGAAACGTCTGTTTTTCTTTAGCTGTTCCTGGAGAAGGAAAGAGTTGACAGAAAAGGAGAGACCCCACTCTATATTGCATTCACCAGTGTAGCAGGCATTACACCAGCTTCAGTGTGCTATGTGCTCCTGAGGAAACCTGGTCTTGGGACAGGGAACTTAACCCAGAGCAGGGCACCAGAGGGCTCTGCAAATGCAGGGAACTGTGTTTGAGCTGTGTGTAAGGGGCAAGGGAGGAAGAGAGGATGGATTTGAGGTCATCTCCAGATTACCTGTAAGGTGGTCCGGGATCGTTCTGCATTAGCAGCAAATTGGGTGTAGAGCTCCAGGTGGGGACAGAAGCCCTCTAGCCCCTGTCCCCAGTACCCTTCCTCCAGGTAGGGAAGCAGCTCTCTGTGTGGGCAAGGCAGTAAAAGGGCAATCCAACAACTACTGGGGCACTCCATTTAATTCTCATTATCCTGCCCCGAGGTAGTGCAATGGCCCCACTTTACAGAAGGAGAAACAAGCAGGTGAAGGCATTGGGCCAAAGCCACAGGTGAGAAAATTGGCAGCCTCCCACCCCCAGCCTCGGGCCAAAGACAAGGCTCTTCCTCTTCCCTCGCCCTTTCACTCACTGGCTGGCGCCATAGATGAGTTCCCAAGAACCAAACAGGGCCTGGCGCTCCGGGGGTCGCAGGGTCCCCTTGGCTTTCAGGATCCCCAAGAAGTACTGTGGAAGGGAGGATGCAGGCGTCTCAGTCTACAGAAAAAGGAGGCCCACGCCGAGGGGCAGCCAGGATCTGAGCTCCCGACAACACCTAGACAGTCCAGAGCCCTCCATCCCCTGGGTCACGGACCTTGCACGGACCCACTCCCTCGGGTCCCGCCCTGCACCGGGAGGGTGCGCCGGGCCCGCACCGTGGCCACCAGCCCCAGTTGTTCCTGGTAGCGCCTCTCGGTCTCCAGCAGCTCCCGAGCGGTGCGGGCGCGCTTCCGCTCCCAACGAGCACGCTGCTCCTGCACGGGGCACCGCGCGACGGGCCCCGGGCTCTCCATGACTGACCTAGAAGCTGACGGTTCCGGCTGCGTCCCGCCGGAGATTCAAATCCCAACCGCTCGGAGGCGGGGCCTCTGGGCGGGGAGTCGAGCCCGCAGGACGGAGCATGCGCAGCAGCGCCGGGCAGCCCACTGGGTCTCCACCCTCCAAACGCGAAGGGCCTCGAGTAGGGTGGGAGGTGGGGGCCAGGTGCGGCCGAGGTGGCGCAGCTCTGAAGGACTAGGCTGGGAAAGGACTTGGACTGGAAGAGTGAGGAGACTCGAGATGCAGACACAGGCTGAGCCTCCGCGTCCTACTGTGGAAGTGGGATTGGGAGGATGATTGGAGCAAGCATTCTGTTCTGGGCCCAAGAGAGGCTCTAAGGGTGGGAGTCAGTTCCAAAGCTTTCACCACGAGGAACTTTAAGGCCTCAAACCTTTTGTGACTGGGTTTTTGTTCACACCTGGGAGACGGACAGCTCCTCTAGAGCAGGTGGCCATAACTGATGTGGAAATTTGCTATGATTCTGGCCAAAGGCAAAACCTTTTGAGTCGATTAGTTTGTGCTGCTTTGTCAAAATAAATAAAAATGACAGAGCTGGGAGCATGGCTCCCATAGTAGGACCTCAGAACCAGGCCCTGAATTAAAACACAGCACTGAAAATAAATTAATGACTAGATTTTCCTTATAAGGGGAATAGTTCTGAAAGGTTAACTGGTAGTGTGCCTCTGTGTGTGTGTGTGTGTGTGTGTGTGTGTGTGTGTGTGTGTGCCTCTGTGTGTGTGTGTGTGTGTGTGTGTGTGTGTGTGTGTGTGTGTGTGTTGGTCCTGGGGCTTGAACTAAGGTACTGGATGCTGTACTGGATGCTGTCCCTGAATTTTTTTTTTTTCATTTTGTATTTTTCTCAAGGCTAGCACTGTAATACTTGAGCCACGTCTGACTGGTTTGTTTGTTTGGTAGTTTAGTAAAGATAAGAATTTCACAGAGTTTTCTGCCCAGATCAGCTTCAAACCATGATCTTCAGATCTCTGCCTCCTGGGTGGCTAGAACTACAGGCATGAGCCACTGCCAGCGCTCAGCTGGTAGTGTGACTTACAGAAATCATAAAGTGTGCTTATATTCTAACAGTTCAGGATGCATCCTAAATGATTATGAGGAATATCAGGATGGCTAGAACAATGCTTATAACAGAAAATCAGAAGCCACCTAAATAACTAGCAAAATTAAGTACCAAGAAGCAAGGGTGGCTTAAGTGGTAGGGCAAGCAGTAAGACCCTGAACTCAAACCCCAGTAGTGAGGGACAGGGAGAAGCTATTTGTGATTTTTATCTCTAAGAGATGAGACAAGATATTTCAACAAATATGTATGTATGCAACGTCTAATCTGTACCAGACAGACAATAGTGTAATTTTTTAATAAAAATTCTCTCCTGCTTATCTGCTCCTTTCCAAAGTTTTCTGCATGAGTATGCATTATTTTGTAATTAGAAAATACATTTTGTATTAAAAAATTAAATGTAAGAGACCCCATTTCTACCATTTTGGACTCTTAGGAATCTGGGCCTAAAGCCAAGAATCGGGATTGTCAGAGTTCTGAGCTCCCCTCCAGCTCTGACATTCTAAGAATGCAAAGAATGGGAAAATGCTAGGCTTAAACCAGGGAAGAACAATGTGAAGGACTTGAATGGAGAAAAGTAAGAGTTTGAATCAAGACTCAATTTGGATCTGACTCAGGCCTCTAGTGACACCATATAGGGAAAGGGCTAGTTACATTGTCTCAAATGAGTGAGAGACTGTCCACATCAAGACCTCATGTATGAAACAGGACAGATAATTCCATGGTCATCCCAATCAATAAGCCCAGAAGTTGAGAAAAAGAGCACAGTGCCTAAGGTACAGTTGTGGTGCGTATGTTTGAGTATGGAGCCATTTTGTATGTGCTTCGTGTGGGTGGGAGATGGAGCCAGGGAATAGAACCTATTGGGAGCTCAGGTGGAGCTACTCTGGAGGAAGATGATAAAGTTGAGGGGAGACACTGATGAAATCCTGTGTACCCATTTCAATTCCACTATACATGATGGATTAAATGGTGGCCCCAAAAGACATGTCCATGTCCCCAAACCAGCAAATGGAGTGTTACTTGGAAAGCAGGTCTTTATGGATACAATTAAGAGGGGGCTGGAGGGTGTGGTTTAACAGTAGAGTTCCTGCCTAGCAAGTGAGAGTCCCTGAGTTCAAACCCTACTACCTCCAAAGAAAAAAATTATTCATAAGATCATCTTGGGTTATCTCAGAGTGTTAAATCCAATGTATAGTATGAATGGGACAATGAATGTCTCATAGAGACATTCAGGGACAAGAGGAGACAGCCACATAAAGGAGAAAGCTATTGGGATTATGCAGTCACAGCCAAGAAGCCACCAACATCTCAAAGAGGCAAGGAAAGATTCTTCCCTAGGGTTTTGAGGGAGGGAGTTCAGTCTTAGCCTCCAGGGCTGTGCAAGAATAAATTACTGTTGTTTTAAGACACCTGGTTTATGGTAATTTGTTATAGCAGCCCAAAGAAGCTACTAATTCAGATTGTGCAGTGGACCAGAACTACAATTCAGCCTCAAGGCACCAGAATGGCTTTCTTTGATCTTTGTTCCCAATCTATGACTGGACAGAAAGGGACGTCTCTCCTACCAGGGAATAGCTCCTTCCTTTACAACCCTAAACTAATCAGAAACATATTTTAGTAAATTGTTCCTCCATATTTGAAGACACAGACCCACTCTGATGATCAGAGATACTCTGCATGGGCTGCTGGGTATCCCAGTTGGTTAGTTTTGTGTACACTCTATCTTGACTTGGGGAAACTTAGGGCACAAGAACTCTGGGAACAGGGTTTGGCAGACACCCAGCTGTGAAGGTGTGATCAGGATCACAGTTCACATCTCCACCCAGGCCAGGGAAACAGCCACCCAGAGAGAGAGCTAAGAGAGACACAGAACCATAGGAAAAAGCATTTGGAAAAATGAGTGAGCTGTAACATTGAGTGCCGTACCCGTAGGCACTCAATGTGATCTTAAAGCTCTAGAGAGAAGTGCTTGGGAGGTATGCACAGGGATATAAAAAAATAAAAAAACTTGTGAGTGCTGTAGAGACCTATACAGAGATCTTGACATTTACAAATGACAACTAGGTGGGTGCCAGTGGCTCATGCTACTCAGGAGGTAGAGATGGGAGGATCATGGCTCGAAGCCAGCTGGGGCAGGAGACTCAGAAAAAGCTGAAAGTGGAACTGTGGCTCAAGTGGTAGAGCTCTAGCCTTCAGCAAAAGATGTTCTGGGACAGAGTCCAAGGCCAGAGTTCAAACCCCAGGATCAGGAAGGAGGAGGAAAGAGGGGAGGGGAGGGAGAAAGAGGCAGGAGGGAGGGAGAGGACGGGGAGAAGGAAGACTAAAATATTCAGAATATTTGGAAAAGAGAAAAATGTATAAAAGCTAAGATTTGTGTTGGGTAGTTACCCAACCATACCACTTCCACACTGTAGTTAGCATAGCACTTCTGTCTTTTCTGCACTTCAGTCTTTTCTGAATCTGTGGCCTTTCTTGTGTCAACTAGACCAACCTTTATCAAGTTTTTTGTTTTTTGTTTGTTTGTTTATTTTTTCTGGTTGTGGGTCTTGTCTCAGGGCCTGGACTATCCCTGAGCTGTTTTGCTCAAGGCTACTGCTTTACCACTTTGAGCCATAGCTCCACTTCTACCTTTTGAGAGGTTAATTGGAGATGAGTCTCCTGGGGACTGCTGGCTTCAAACTGCTATCTTCCCATCTCAGCCTCCTGAGTAGCTAGGATTACAAGTGTGAGCTTTCAAATTCTGTCTTGGCCCATCCAACTCAGGTATTCCATGTGTCTTCTATGTGTCAGGGTCCAAGCAGAGAGCTGAAAACACTGCTGGTCATCCTAACTGTATGCCAGATCAAATTCATGGATACCTTTCAGCATGGCTGCAGAAAAGCAACCTAAAATAACTTTTTTTGTGTGTGCTAGTACTAGTGCTTGAACTCAGGGCCTTGAACTCTTGCTCAGCTTTTTCACTCACACTTGGTACTCTACCATGTATGCCATGTCTCCACTTCCAGCTTATTGCTGGTTAACTGGAGATAAATGTTTCAAGGATTTGTCTGCCAGGTTACTCTGAATCTTTATTTTCAGATCTCAGCCTCCTGAGTAGTTAGGATTATAGGCATAAGCCATCATTGCCTATAAAAGCCATCATTGCAACCTAAAATCTTGTGTGTGTGTGTGTCTGTGTATGTGCATGCACGCATGCACATACATGTTGATGGAGATCAAATCCAGGGTTTTGTGCATGTTAGATGGGTTTTCTACTACTGAATTACACTTGCAGCTCAAGGAAAACAATCCACAATCTTTTACGATCTCCTAAGATGATCACTTGGGAGGGTACCTGTTATTTCAGCCATACAAGTTTTGGTGTAAAATATGACAAACAAAGCAGATAATTTGGAGTGTCATACAAAATGTGATGCCACATTCCTAGGATAGTTGTAGATTGACATCAGGTTATTGACAACCACCTTGGGAATAGGGAAGATAGTTTAGTATTTTTCAAGAACTTGACCAGGAAATCTGCTCAATAATGGCTGATAAATAAAATATTGACTTATCAAATACTGGACCCTGCCCTTATGGATCTCAAGGTTATTAAAGCAGATAAAATATCATAAATCACCTTAATATGAATTCAAAGGTGGGAAAGGTTATTAAGGGCAAGCGAAGAACTGTGGTAGCTCACAGGCACAGATACCATTTCTGGACTGGTGGTGGAGAGCTGGTTAAGAAAAGATTTCTAGGGAGTTGCCTATGAGCTGAGTGTTGAACAGAAGAGATTTAGACAACAGAGACTGAAAATATTTACCATCACAGGTGAAGCTATTTGAAGTACTCAAGGAATTGCCTTTTGAAATAAGGAATCATGGGATCTAAAAGGTCTCCAGAGAGGAGCTCAGATAATAGTGGACCTCTAGGACCTTAACTTGGAGTATTGGAG